CGGCCAGATTTATCTGTGTGGGGTGAGGTTGATGTTTAAATACCTGAAGCATCCAGAGTGGAGGTATGGCTGCAGAGCCATCAAAGGCCATGTCTGATGCCCCACGCCACCACACCTGGTGTTCACGACCCATGAATGCACCTTCTTGTCAGTCCTTTCCCCTCTGCAAGTTCCTTCACTACCAAACCCGCGTGCCAGAAAGTCTGCTGTTCCCCTCCACAGAGGGGTTGCATTTGTTCTCTGTTTTATGAGCTGGCTTGCAGCGGGGTGGCACGCAGTCTGCCGTGGGCACAGACTGTTTATGTGTGCGTGCTGGCTACTGGGGAGAGGGCAGAGTGGGTTGGCTGGCCTAGAAGAGGCTAGAGCTGAGGCATTTAACCCCACCCCCACCCCCACACACAATTCCTATGGCCTTTTGGGCTATTGTGTGTTTTCTCTACGGAGAAATCATAGTTAATACTTACCTCGAGCGTACTGCGTTCCGCCGGCTGTGCTGAGCCTGCTCTGGCCTTCTTGACGATGACGTAGACCCAGTTTGCTCATGGGAGCGATAAGGCAGGCAGCCCGCTCCGTCACAGTGTAAATCACTGGGAGTACATTGATGCCAGCCGGGCAGTCCCGCTTGTGAGCCACGCACCCAGCCTCCGTTCAGCTGCCGCCATGTGGAGTCTTGTCTAAGAGCAGAAGAGTTCTTCCCTATGGCACGTGTATAGAAAGCAATCACTTAAACCCTTTCTTCATAGAAAAACAGGCCCCAAAAGGGGAATGTTCAGCCCCAGGTTTTCAGAGCCCACTTCAGTTGGAGTTAAGGAACTAGAATTTTCTCCCAATGAGGATTCTGCAGGGGAGAGAACAAGGTCCCTCGGTCTCTGGATCAGAGGGTACATGCAAACTAGACACCATGCTTAGGATTTACCAGCTCACATGCCGCCAGGGGCAGAGTCCCAGCCCCTTCCAGCCCCCAGCAGTGTTATTGGGGACCTGCTATGAAGTCCCCAAAGTGGGGTTCTGGAACATCTGAGCTCTCAGACTCTTTCCCGAAGTCCCCCAGGGCCTGCAGTGTTTTCATAAGATATTGCTGGTGTTTTCCACTCTCATCTTTCTCACAGATATCTAGGGGAATTTTCCAGGAGCCGTGTGACCTGTAATAGTGTCACCCTGATAGCTAATGGGGTGTGTAATCATGCATGCCAGCATTTTCTTACTCTCAATGTCTAATATAGTCAATAGAGATAGGTAACACACACTAACAGAAGGTCTTGGGAAGCCATGATAATTCTTAGGAGCATAAAAAGGTCCTGAGTTGGGGACAGGGGACAACTAAGAATGGCCACTGAGACGTAGTCCACCAAAAGGAAAGCCACAGGCAGCAGAGAGAGGCCGTCCTGCACCCCGACTCAGGCCCTGGCTCTGCACACATCTTCACTTCAGCATGGAAGGGCTCACAGCCAAGCTCAGCCTAGGGGAGAGGCAAGAAGCAGGAAATGGCCTTCTCTGGAAGGGAGCAGAGAGACCCTGAGGGTGATGCGTGCCTCACTCCCCTGGGCCCTCTACTCCAGGGGGATAACGTAAGAGGCGGGAGTTTTCATAGGGATTTCCCAGAATGTCCAGCTCTTCTCAGCATGCACAAGTGGGTAAGATGAAATTTCCGAAAAGGAAACAGTAGCCTAGAACTCACAGCCCCTGAGGAGCATGCTGCTGAGAGAGCCCATAGATTACTTACTGTTTCACCTGCCCAAAGAACATGGGCCAGGCTAAACCAAGGAGGAAGGCCTGAAGAGGTTGCTATGGGGGCAGGCCTGGCTGGTGGAGTATTAATCAGTGTTCCACTCAGGAAATACAACCACACTAAGTATTTTGAGCAGGAAGGAACTCAGCTAGGGCAGAAGGTACTAATAGGATTCTGAAAGGGCTCAAGGAATAGATTCTAGGCCGAGCCACCAGAAAGACTTCACGAACACAGAACTTACCTAGTAAGGGCATTGCCCCAAGAGCAGACCCTAGAACTCTGTTTGAGCATATGTTCTTGGAGACAAGATTCAAGATGAAAGCTAGAATGAAGAAATCTTTTCTAAAGTTGGATACCAGTGGCTCATGGCTGTAATCCAAGCTACTCAGAAGGCTGAAATCTGAGGATCACAGTTTGAAGCCAGCCTTAGGGGCAGGAAAGTCTTGTAAGGGTTCTTATTTCCAGTTAACCACCAAAAAGCCAAAAGTGGGTCTGTGTATCAAGTGGTAGCATGCTAAACATTGAACAAAAAAGCTAAAGGCCAATACCCAAGCCAAATTCAAGCTCCAGTATTGGCGCAGAAAAAAAAAAAAAGAAAATTTTTTCTATTACTTTGATCAGTACTACCTCTAGCACACAAGAAAAGTAGAAAACAAATAGAAAGATGTTGATGGGCTGGGGAAGACCTCATGCTTTGAGGACCTGGTTTGCTAGCAAAAATCAAATAGACACAAAGTAGCCTCTGCCTTGTGTTCACTTGCCCATTCTTTAAGGAGTAGCCTCTTAATGATGAAACCCAATTTGCATCCAGAACCTCAGCCGCAAAGGAGTCTGGCAAGTATAGTTTTCCACTTTCCAGACTCGAACCAAGATGGCTCAGTGCCACACAGAGCCCTGTATGTTCCCGGTCCCCCCCGCACACCACCATTTCACATGTGTTGGGTTCTGACAGGCATGAAGCAGAGAAGGAATCGCTGCCATCTGTGAGGCATGATCTCCCCTACTCCCTCTCGGATTTCCCCCGGTACAATGGAGAGATACCCACTTAGAGGTTTAGTAACCACACTTGGCGCTTTGTCTTGGCTATTAGCCACGGCAAGGAAGAATGGCTGACAGAACCCACAATTATTTTTTTCTTTACATCAGTCTCCCCCACTAGGGGTTTAACTAAAGCCTTTTCCTTGGATTAGGGGGGTGGATAGACAGCTTACCTTCCAGCCTTGCATTATGAGAATTATAACAAATGTTAAAAAAAAAAAAAGACATGTGAGGGGAATTCAAATCTGTATGTAGATGAAGGGAAGGATAACTCATGAATGGCTTTTCCTTCTTAGATGACTCGAGTTCCCCCATAATTTCCAGCTTCTCGGTCTCACAAGTCAACACCATGACTTTGAAAATGAGATGTCATTCTTTGGGGAGCAGAACTGTGATTTGATCCATACCTGAAAAATCTGATGGGTTACACTAGGGGCTGGCGTTCATCCACACGTTCAGTCATCCCTCAAACCTATGGTGTCAGGCCACAGCCCGATACATAGATGAGAAAGTTATCACTCTTGACCTTAGAGCTGGTTGGCTAGGCAGGAAGGTCAGACACATTCCGTGCTAAAAGAGAGTTCAGAGGACCTAGGGGCGGGAAAAGCTTTTTGGCCACTGGAAAGAGGTAGCATTGACACTAAGCCTTGAAGAAGAATAAACGGGATCCAACAAACAGAGGTGAAAACGGATGGTTCTCATGAGTGGTTCTCTGATGGTTGCAGAGCCTTGAACACTGGTGGTCTGCTGTGTCGGACACTGGCCCTTGAAGACCAGGGATAGTGAGGCTTTAATGGTATTTGGCCCCATACACACACAGGCATGAATACACACACACTCACACTCATACACACACACATACACATCAGTATTTTTTGAGACCAGTGAAGTGATACAGACTCAGATGTGCTTTCTGCAAGAATGAGACTAGAACTTCAGAGGAATTGCCCACGAGAACCATCTTCAAGGTCACATCTGATTATTCCTGGGTTTATTTTGTTTTAATGGAAAGCACCGTTCACCCTCCAGGAGATGCGTTTATAACCTTGAAGATGACCTAAGCTTTTGGAGGCCTGAGATAAGTGATGAAGTCTCCAGTGCCGGCCCGTAGCTGGCGTGTGAGGTAGCTGAGGCCTGCGTTTCCTCTTAGGTGTCGCCAGGTTGGAGAACTTCGCTGTGTGCTGGGGAGCATGGTGCTGGTGGCAGCGCAGGCCGGTGCTTCAGAACCCGGGGTATCAGCGGAAGTGGAGTGTGGATGGGGCCTGGCTGTTGGCCCGGGCCTGGTGCCCACTCCCTGGATTGTTTAAGAAGGAGGAGGCCTTGGGAGGGAGGGACCAGGAACACAGGCAGCCTTGGAGGCCTGTTCTTGAACTGTCATCAGAGAAAACAGCCATGAAGGGCAGGATGCCAGGGCCTCCTTCTCCCTGCGACCCATGGGGGAGGGGATATGAGCAATATTCAAGCTCAGCCCGCCAGGCTGGCGGTGTCCACTGAGTCCTGAAACCAAAGACTGGCTGCTGAGGCCTTGAGAGATGTCAGGCTGTTCAAGCCTGAGCCCACTTCGCCACCAGGGTCTTGCTAAAGCTGATAGGGGACAAGATAAACCTTCCCCACACAACTGGCTGAATGGGAGGGGGGTGGGGAGAGGAGGAAAGACCCTGTGCCTGGGGGCTCTCTCACAGCCATGGTGAATGGCGCCCCCTGGTGGCATACAGAGTGCCTTCAAAAGGTGTCCCCTGTAGCTCTCAGCTGCAGCCCTTGGTGGTGGCCTTTTGCTTGCCTCTTGCACTCCCTGAGCACTAGCCTTGTGATTGTAGCCGCATCTCAGCCTGGGCTGTAAGCAGGGAAACAATGACTGTCCACTGCACGCAGGCAGTATGGTGCACATCACCTAATCCAGCCTCACAACACCCCTGGGAACAGGTGTCACCCACACTGCAGGCTCAGGAATGCTTGTTCGGAGCTGCTAGTTGCAAAGCTGAGCTTGGTGCCTGGCCATGATGCTCTTTCCTCTGAACCCCACCTCCCTGAGACAGTATCTCCCCTCTGCAGAAAGGAGAGCCTCCCTTCGTGGATGAGCTCTTGTGGCAGGGAGGGAGTGTCAGAACCCCGGATGTACATGGCGGTGACCCACTTTTGCCACTTTGGAGGGCCTGAGACCAAATGTGCCGCAGGGCTCCCCCCCTTCAAGGAGCGCGTCCCGCAGGCCTGACCTCTATGTGCCCCTTCACAGGCCCTTCATGCTGCTGCCGCCGCTGATGGAGTGGATGCGCGTGGCCATCACCTATGCCGAGCACCGCCGCAGCCTCACGGTGGACAGTGGGGACATCCGGCAGGCAGCCCGGCTGCTGCTGCCCGGCCTGGACTGCGAGCCCCGACAGCTCAAGTAAGGAACAGAGGGGAAGGAGGGCTCACCCCCATGTCCAGCCGCTGGCGATTCCCCTCCCTTCTCCTGGTGGCCAGGGCTGGGGAAGGCTGCTCTGAGAAGTTCCCCCCCACAAATGTCAGGGCTGAGTATGGGATCTGATCTGCTCTAGGCCTTTGTTGCCTGCAGGACGCATGCTCCACAGCCGGTGTCCACTCTACCAAGCAGATGCACGTTTGGATTTGGGCCAGAGAGCACACAGAGTGTGACACTGGTGCTGGGGGAGGGTGGACGCGGCTGACTCTTCCATTCCTGTAATTGCCCCTGTTGCTGGAGGCAGGTCCTGGGCTGAGCCCTTCCTTGTTAGATGCATGATAACTCGGGAGAAGGGACTGTAAGCCCATATTATACATGAAGAGAGTACGGGTCAGGGAGGGACCAGCAGCTTGCTCATAGACATTCAGCTGAAAAATTAACTGCATCTGAATTTGCACCCAAGTCCCCATGCCCCTCCATTCATGCTGCCTTCATTCCTTCCCAGAGCACCCCCATTTATACCCTCCTCTCCTGTGGGAGCTGCTATCTAGTAGCTCTCTCCGGATCTCTCTGTCCATTTCTAGCTAGTGAAAGTCTTGTCTCTTTCCTTTTGTTAATATACATACACAGTTATTACAAGGGTAATTTATAGAGAGGTTACAGTTTCGTAAGTCAGGTAACAAGTACATTTCTTTTTGGACGGTGTCACCCCTTCCTTTGCTCACTCCCAGTTTCATGCTTCTCTTTATTTTATCTCTGCCCAAATACCACTTCTGCCTCAGTTGTCTGTGTAGATGCCTGAACCACATCTCTTCACATTTTGACCCAACCGAAAACCCAGACGGAAGCTGCCTACTGGGCATCTTTGTGTGCCCTGGGAAGATACGAGTTTTTCTCTGTGGCTCTCCTTGGCAGGTTGTACAGGCTCCTAGTGGTATTCTAGACCTTGCATGGCCATATTTTTAATACTGCTGGGCCTTACTAGGAAACCCTAGAGAGCTTTTGCCTCAAAGACTGGTTTCATGGGCTGAAGGCAGTCTGTTCCACACAAGTGGTACATAGCAGTCCAATGCTAGTCCACCACTGGGTCCTAGACCCAGCCTGAGCCTCAGGTTGGTTCCTGAGATGTCTTATTATTCAGGAACATAGTCCCTGACAGTTCCAAACTGTCCAAGTATGTGTTCTTCAGGTCACAGGACGTGGTGAGGACAGTCATCTGAGTTTAATTCCCAGTTGTTCCCCTACCCCGCCATTCCCATTCCACGTGTCAGCCTGGCCCAGTGGTATTACATGTCTCAGTCATGCTCACCACTCCTGGTCTCTCCTGGGCAGACCTGAATGCTGCTTCAGTTCCTTCCGGAGGCTGGACGCCCGAGCTGCCACGGAAAGATTCAACCAGGACCTGGGCTTCCGCATGCTCAACTGCGGGAGGACGGACCTCATCAGCCAGGCCATCGAGGCCTTGGGCCCAGACGGGGTGAATACCATGGACGACCAGGTAATTTCTGAGAGCTCTGCTAGGCCAGGCTTAGGACCCACACTAGGGAATTCACAGTTGCTCGAGTTGGATGTATTATGCCCTGTGTTCTAAGCTGAGACTGGTTAGCTCTGAACGGTGAACTTCCTCCTGCTTCACATGGGCTGTCAGTGGGACATTCCCCAGCACCCTTGGCCCACCTTGGCTCTCTGGGTTCTTTTTTCTCTTCCCCACTGTTGGGGCTTGAACTCAGGGCCCTCATGCTCTAGCTTGGCCTTTTCACCCCTTGCTGGTCCTCTTTCACTTGAGCCACGCATCCAGCTCCAACTTTTGCCGGTTAACTGGAGAGAAGAGTCTCCTAGATCTGTCTACCCAGGCTGACTGTGGGCTGTAATTCTCAGATCTCAGCCTCCTGAGTAGTTGGGATTATTGGCATGAGCCAGCAGTGCCCTGCTTATAACTCTCCAACAGTGCATGCTTGGGGAAGAGTCCAGAGAAGTCAGCAGTTACTAACATGTGTACGGAGTGTGTGACCTGCCATCTGTCCTTGTGGCACTGACATTGTAGTGCGAGACCAGGCAACAAAAGAAATAGGCCCACAAGGTAGAGAGCACGTTAATGGAAAGTGCTTAGGAGTCAAATGGAGCCAGAGGAAGGGTAGGAATGGCAGAGGTAACTTGTAAAAGCCCAGCATTTTGTGTTTGTATTGGTATTTTGTTTTGCAGTGAACAGCTTCCATGTATCTAGCATTTCTGTGTTCCAGGCTTTCTTTGATCATAAGTGCTTCCATAGATTAATTATTTAATTTTGGCCTCAGCCTTATGACACAGTACTGTAATCCTCCCTCCCCTCCCCACCCCACCCCAACCCTCATTTTACAGCAAGGAGACTGAGATACAGAGAGGGTGCTTCAGTCTAAAATGCCACCATGAGTCAGAAGCAGAGCCGGGATTAGAAGCATCCAGGCAATCTGACTCTGGCTCTTAACCACGGTGAAATATCCCATTTGTTTATTCCACACTGTTTGAGGAGCAGTTATTGAATAAATAATGGCACTGTGTGGTTGGGAAGACCACACAGAAACACAGGGAAAGTTAAGCAACACGAAGGGTGAAGCAAGGGTGTCAGATGAGATGACAGAAAGAGGGCACCAGAAGAAGCCTGGGTTCCCAGCAGGCGCTAGGGGTGGGACAGCCACCTCTGGAGGAGTTAGAACTAAGACTGAAGGGCAGACAGGGGTGAGGTACAGCACCGCATGGCGCCTCCTCCATGCAGATGGGGCAGAGCTATGACAGGGTGATCACAGGCCAAAGGGGCTTGGTTAGCACAGCAGATGTGGGGGCTGGGTGGGAGTGTCGTCCTTTGGAGCATAGAGAAGAAGCCAGTGGACCTGCGCTTCCGATAGATGAGGATTTAGTCCAGCGCCTCATAGCTGAGTAACCTTCGTGGGTTGCCCTGCTTTCCGGAGGAGCCTCTGTTTCCCAGCCTCTGAGAGGGGGGTGACACATAGAACTGTCAGGAGAATTTCCCTCTGGCACCTTGTAAATGCCTGGTTGATGTTCTCTCTCTGGTTCTTGCCATCCATATGATTATTGTTGTTGTCACATGGTTGTGAATAAGATGATTATCCTTGAAGTCTTGTTTATCAGCCTCTTTAGACTCTGTGTGCCTGGAGTGGGGAAGAAAACAGCGCGCACACGCGCACACACACACACACACACACACAAGTGGTTTCCCCCGTTCCGGCTCACAGCCCAGTTTATACTCTGAATTGTGTACAGATGTGTGGATCAAAAAAAAAAAAGTCAAGAATGTGTGAAACAGAGCCAAATTTCCATGAGGTTGCCATTGGCTTTTTGGGAAAGCATGGCCCTCTTGTTTACTGGCTGACGTGTGGGTAAACAGCCCTCTCACCCCCTGATTAATCGCAGGCCATTTCTTTATCTCTTGGCACTAGACAAGGATGTATGAGTTAAAGAGATCTTGTCTACGCACAAATAACCTAATAAATAATATTGCGGGGCGCCAGACACATGCTTACCAGGATCCAACTGTGCAGTACACACTTCCCTGCCCTGCCTTTGCTGTGAGTGGCCGCAGGGAGACCCCAGCCAGGGAGCCAGCCCATGAACAGCCTGCCTCAGGAAGGGTACAGCTTCCAGAAAAGCCCCGGACTGTTTAGCAGCACATCTATTGGTCAAACGCCCCTCCACGCTCTGTGTGATGCCTCAAGGCACCAGCTCAAAGCTCACATGGACCTGGGGTCCATGTACTGTTTGTGCGGTCCTCAGTAGTTAATTCCCTTTCTCCATTTCACATAATTATAGAAGTCCTCCCCTCCACTCCCCGACACACACACCTTAAGACTAGCACAGTGATTAAATGAGATACTGCCTGTCCATCATATAACAAGATTTCAATGCCCTGGCCTGGGATGGCTTGGAATGTGGCAGTATGACATAGGAACAGCAGTGGCTGTGTTGTTATTAATTGAGCTTTCAATCAAGGTGAGATTAAGTGCTAGGTTAGTACCAAAGGTACTAAGCACTGACACACACTGTCAGCAAGCCTATGAGGTATGTACTGTTGTTTCCCTGTAAAGATGGGGAAACTGCACAGAGAGGACCAGGACCGCACCAGACTCAACACTCCTTTGGCTTTTGCTCCTTGGCCTGGCTGCAGGGCGTGTGCTTTTCACCCCTCTGCTGTCACAATGCTTATGGAAATCCCCTACACACTCTTTCTGTGTCCTTTGCTCTGAGGGTCTATAGGAAGCTGGCAGGGAAGAAGGGAGCACTCACACAGAGGCCTATGGGATGCTGGGTGTTGCATTCTGCTCCAGACAGCTTAGTAATTGCCTTTTATTCGTGCAGGGTATGACACCACTGATGTATGCCTGTGCTGCTGGGGATGAAGCCATGGTCCAGATGTTGATTGATGCCGGAGCAAACTTGGACATCCAGGTAAGCAAGCCCAGAGGCCTGCTTTTTAGGCCCTAGCCCAGTGAGAGACCACCCCCACCCCCAGGTCTCCAGTAGCCAGGATGGGTGCAATGTTTTGGGCAACTGGGTAAATATGTCTCCAAAGACTTAAAAATACAAGGTAACAGATCACAGCAAAGAGCTGGGGGTGGTTAGAAGGATTCTAATGCCCAGTCTAGCTCTGTCTTTTTGAGATAGAGAGCGTCTCCCCTCTACCATCTTCTGCCCAGGAGAGACATTACTAATGGAGTAGCCACTCTTTTCTCTTGAGCCTCATCCATATAGTGCTCCAGGCAGACATTACCTATCAAATGTCAAAAGCACTTGAGTTGACTCCTGTTCACTATCCCTGCAGGAGAACCTGCCTATCCAAAGCCCCAGAGTTCTCTGCTCAGGGATGTCACCTACCCAGGAAATAGCGATGGTGTGTGTTTTCCAGGTTCCAAGCAACTCTCCCAGACACCCCTCCATCCACCCCGACAGCAGGCACTGGACCTCACTAACATTTGCTGTATTGCACGGACACATCTCTGTAGTGCAGGTAAGCCCTGCCAGATACTCAGCCAGCTCCCCAGCTTCTTAGGTGGGCTGGACCCCAAGCATAGCCACAGGCCCTTGGGGGTTGGGAGTCAGCTGCCTGGAGTGAGAGATGGCGGAGGCCAGCTCACCTGATCCACATGCAGCAGCAGCAGCCCACATCGCTAGCCTCAAAGAAAGCAGGGGTTAGTGTCAGGATACGTGAGGAATTGTGAGAAAACAGACCCAGGTCCAAACTGAACGAGGCCCTGCCATCTCTTCTTGCAAGTCTTCGCACAGCTGGGACCTGTGTGAGTGCTTGCTTTCCCCCCTTCTTTCTGACCCTTCACTCTGCTTCCTCATGAATCCCTTCACCAAGCTGGCTCTCTATCCCGGCTCCTTTCCAGTTCTTCCCTCACACGCCCACCCCACCCCGAAGAAGCCTGGTCCCTCCACTTCCCAGTTCCTGAGCGAGAAGACACGGTGACACAAACTGAGCAGCATAGTTCCCCACCTCGGCCTAGGGAGCTGCGGCCGCCATGACGGGTGGTGGGGGCTGGGTGTTTTATAGAAATTGAAGCTGTGGGCAGAGCAGCTTCACGTGGTGTCACTTACATCCCAGGTCCTCAGACCTCCCTCCACACCCCACCCCCCACTCACAGTCTTCTTAGAGCTAGTGCAGTGTCTGCCTCAGAGGACAGGGGTCACATTGACCAACATGGCCGTCAGTACAGCCTGGTCAATGGCAGTTGCCCAGCAATCTCCTGCATCTTGCCTTCGCTGCAGTTACTGCCTGCCCAAGTTCCATCCTCAGCGCAGTGAGGGCCTGTGGGCTAGGCCCGGGGCCTGGCTAGGCCCTGGGCTGGGCTGGCAGGGAGCCCAGTTTCTCCTGCCCAGCAGCCTCCACCCCCAGAGCATCAGCACGGGTGCAGGTGAAAAGGACCAACTGGTTTCTGACCGAAACCAGCGGCCGGCCATCTTCCATTCTCCACACCCCACAGGGGAGCTGCCAGGTCACCTGGGCTCTTCACCTCACTTCTCCAGGGAGATGAGGAGCAGGCTGGGCTGAAGGTCACCTTTTCTAGAGCAGAATGCAGACACCACCCCTGCCACCAAGGTGGAGCCAGGCCCGGGCCAGCTGTAGCTGCTTGGCATCTGTTACTCTGGCTTGTCTGTCTTCTGGCAAACCTGTCCTTGCTGGAATGAGGAGAGGCCACTTGCTGTCCTGGACAGCCCTACCTCTTCTTAATAGCTGTTGAATGTCTCCAGTGAGGAAGGAGCCCAAGGGCTCCGCTGGTGAACAGGTCCACAGTGTGTCAGGCGTTGTTGCGTGTAATCTCGGCAACATGGCAAGGCTGGCCTTGAGTCCCGTTTTGCAAATGGCAACAGAGGCTCAGAGAAAAGTACCAGACTGGGTCACTCCCTGCCCCCTGGCAGCGCCGCGCCTGACTCTCTTGCTGCTGCTGCCTCCTGGGGCCTTGTTCCCTCTGTGGATTGCAGATGACGCTCTCTTTTGTCCCATCTGCTGAGTTCTGCAAGTCAATGAAGCTATTGGGGGGCAGCAGGGGGAGTGGAGCAAAGAGCTCAGAGGTCAGCATAGCTTAGAGGTTTGCTCCAGAACCACAAAAGAGTGGTGTCAAAGGTTCTAGAACTTTTCAGCTCTAAGAGTAAACAGGGATTTGTAAGTGCTAGTTTCTTGGCTGCCAGTGTGAGCCATGTCCTGGTCATGAGTCTGGGGAGAATCTCAGGTCCTGGCCCCAGGCCCTGCCGCCTCAGGCTAGTCCCAGCCGCTCCCTGCTGCTGCTAAGTGCTGCCCTCCCCCCCCCACCCCTCCACCTCCCCCAGTTGCTGCTGGACGCTGGTGCCCACGTGGAAGGATCGGCAGTGAACAGCGGCGAGGACAGCTACGCGGAGACGCCCCTGCAGCTGGCCTCTGCGGCCGGTACGTTCACCCACCGCCGCCCCGTCCAACAAAGGCCTCTCCGCTAGGTCACCCACTGGACATTGGGCCACATGCCCCCGCTTTTAGGAACCCTTGAGATACCCCTTCCTGGGACCCTCAGCCCTTCCCCGCATCCCTGCTAGTACTGTTTCTTCTCAGCCTGGTTCCCAGGAAGGGCTCGACCAGGCCAGGAGCCCAGCCAGGCCTCCACGTCCTCCCCTGAGGGGCAGAGTGCAGGTTTCCCTTTGCATCGCCCCCTTTGCTTTCAGGGAACTACGAGCTCGTGAGCCTGCTGCTGAGCCGAGGTGCCGACCCCCTCCTCAGCATGCTGGAAGCCAACGGCATGGCCTCCTCCCTCCACGAGGACATGAACTGCTTCAGCCACTCGGCCGCCCACGGCCACAGGTACCTGCCTTGGGAGGCCTGCCCTGTGTGACTACTGACGTGAGCTCTAGCAGCCTGGACTCCTCTGCTCCAGACGGCAGCACAAAGGGTGGACCCGAGGCCTTTCCAGAGGTCAGAGCCCGTGAGGGCCTCAGCCAGCATGGCGGCCTGTCGGCACGGGGTGATGGGCCGCTTAGCATGGCCCGGTATCTGAGGCCAGACAGTCCTGAGACTGGAACAGGGCCTTGGATGCATGTTCTAGACATACTGTCCCAGCCCCAACCAGCCACAGCAGATGCCAGGGTTCCATCAAGCCCACATCCCCCATGTGCCTAGTGCTGATTCTCTGGGGTCTGTGGGGGCCTTGGAGCACCCCAGGGGTTCCAGCACAGCACACGGCTGGCTGGTGCAGAGGCTCCTGGTGGCTCCGCAGGAAGTCGCATGTGACTCCAGGAGCAGATGGTGGACCTGCCCAGCATTGTGACAGGGAAGCAGCAGACTGAACACAAGGCCATTAGGCAGTGCTGGGGGACAGAAGGAAGCGAGGGAAGAGGTTACTAGAGGGCACAGCGGGGGCTGGAGAAGCGGGGCTGGCGTGCAGGACCTAGATTTGCAGTCGCAAGGGCTTTTCTCACCACCATGCTTAGCCTCCTGCTGTGTCCCTGCTCCAGAAAACCTTGCTCCTGCACCCCACACTCACTCACCCAAACCACTGTCCATGGGACCCTGTCTCCCCATGTCCTGTGTTTGCCTCTCTGTGACTTCCCCCACCTCCTCCCACCCCTGTCTGTTCCTCTGCCTCTCATTATCTCGTGAGACAATGGGATTCTAGAGACAGGCCCTGTGGCCAGACCACCTGCATGAGCTGCTGGCTGGCATAAAAAGATACTGTGGAAAACTCCAGGGAAGGCTGATGGCCAACCAGCCCCTTGGAGATGGCCCTGGGTTCTGCACAGCCTGCAGAAGGGAGGCTCAGCCCTAATCAGACGTAGGCCCCCTGCGGTGCTGTAGCCATCCCAGAGCCACAGGCCAGGGAATGTGACAAAAGATCCTGAGGCTGTCCCAGTGTGGCCTTGAGCAAGACCGCGACACCTCACATCCACTGCAGGGCCTGTACGCAGACATGAGCTCAGCCAGCCCAGTGTTGTAATGGAAACAAGTTCTCTGTAGCACCCATCCCCATTTCACCCCATCAACATGGGAGAGACGCGGGGTCTGCGGCGGTTCAGGAGCTGCAGGTGTGTGTGAGTGTTGAATACCTGGGCATCAGCCCTCTCTCTTAAGGACACACAGCTGTTTGAGCTCCAAGAGGTAGAAAAGGTTGTCAAAGAGTAGAAAAGCCAGAAGGACAAGTCCTGCTCACCCCAAAGCCTGATTCCTCAGTAATGCCAAGACAGCAAGCAGGCCCTGGCCCCCTGCCCTGTCCCCTCCAGGTGTCTGGAGATGGAGGTCCTTGGGAGTTCTGGCCCACCTGACTAGGAAGGGGAAACAGCCCCTGAGCTCTCCCATTCCTGAGCCATGGAAGGCAGCTCAGGCACGCACTGTCTCTCTGTCCTGGGGACCCCAGACCTCATCCTCCTTAATCTCTTGGTCCTCAGGAATGTCCTAAGGAAGCTCCTGACTCAGCCGCAGCAAGCCAAAGCGGATGTGCTGTCCCTGGAGGAGATCCTGGCGGAGGGAGTCGAGGAAAGCGACACTTCGAGCCAGGGCAGCGGCAGCGAGGGCCCCTTGCGGCTGAGCCGGACCCGCACCAAAGCGCTGCAGGAGGCCATGTACTACAGCGCTGAGCATGGCTACGTGGACATTACCATGGAGCTGAGGGCCCTGGGTGAGACTGCGCAATCACACGCACCACAGTGTGTCACAATCTCTCCTCATCAGGCCAGGGAAGGTCAAGGGCCCATAGGATAGATGGAAGCCATGGGACAGCAGGGTGGCAATGAGGACCTGACTGCCTCATGACCAGGCCAGAGATGCCCCAGGCTTGAGACGGTCCTCAGCAGTGACACATCTTGAGCTCACAACACTTGGTCTCTGCCCTCAAGCCCACCCGCCTCCCAGGTGATACAGCCCAGGACTGTGGAGCCCCGGGGGGAGGGGGGTCTCCCGCAGTACCCCAATGAGTCAACATGTCCAGTTGCTCAACCAACCTCCTCCTCCTTAGATCTGCAAGTCCGTGGATGTTTTTCGTGCCTTCAGAGAAACTTTTAGGACAAACGTGGACAGATCCTGTTATCTGTACCGCACGGAATCTCTCCAAGTCCCATTTCCCACTTCATGAGTTGACTCAGAGCTGGCAGCGAGAACGGGCGCAAAGCATGCTGCCCACTGCGGGCCCCTGGCTCCGTGACAACCGTGCTGTTTGTCACAGGCCAAAGGCACAGACCCGCAGGGCTGGGCCACCAGAGCAACAAGGCGGCCTCTGCTAGAAAATGAGGACCGCCTCCTGCCGACAGCCAAGAAACCCACAAGGCCGGCATTGTCATTGTGTCCCAAGGGAATGCCATCACTGTGTCTCAGGTCTTTTCAATCTCCAAGCAAGCTTAGGGGTCACTGTAATTACCAGGAATATACCTGGCTTTGTCATGAACTTCCCACAGCAGCTTGAAATGACTCCACGGTCCCACTGACACACAGGGGCGCTGGTAAATAGTCATGACATGCCCCGGATGTGAACTGACACGCACAGCTAGCTGACTGCTTGTGATGGGGCCCAGTTTTGTTTCCAGTTGCCACCTAGGATGGGGGAGGCGGGGCGTGTGGGCTATGTGCTGTGGAGTTCCCTGCGGTTTCCAGGTACTCAGGCCACTCGGGGGACCCAGCATTAGTGGGTTCTCAGCAAGAGAGCCAGTGAGAGAAGAAACAGCTCCCCAGGCCCGGCTGCCCATTTTGCTCATTGCTTCCCCATCATTGGCCACTCCCCTGCCTGCCCACCAGGCCCAGCAATGAATTGAAGCTTTTGTCCCGTGGCTCCGTGGCTCCCACAGCTCCACAGGGACCGTCACGCAGCGTGGAATGTTGGGGCGGGTCTCTCCGGTGGGGTGGGGGCATCCGTGGTCTGTGGCTAGAGCTTTGTGAGGTTACTGACAGCTCTTCTTCCTCCCCGCCGGGGCCCAGGCGTCCCCTGGAAGCTGCACATCTGGATCGAGTCCCTGCGAACCTCCTTCTCCCAGTCCCGGTACTCGGTGGTGCAGAGCCTCCTGCGGGACTTCAGCTCCATTAAGGAGGAAGAGTACAACGAGGAGTTGGTGACCGAGGGCTTGCAGCTCATGTTCGACATCCTCAAGACCAGCAAGGTGAGTGTGGGCCAGCAGCCATGACCCCAAGCCACAGAGGCCACAGTCCTCACCCCGACCCTGGCCCAGACACCTGGATCGACACCTGTGGACAGACACGGGTAGCCCTCCACACGCAGACACCCAACCCTGCAACAACCCAGGTGCACAGGCCGGGCTCCAGGGCAGCAGAGGCCGTGTGTCTGTCTGGGCTGGAGCCCAGACAAAATAGCTAGTTGGAGAATAGCTGGTGAGGAAGTAGGCCTCTCTCTTGCCAAGACACATCCAAGAGGAACAAAAGACAACGACCGCTCTCATCCTGGTCTGGACTTTTGAAATTAGCCCGATGCCTCTCTAGCTCTAAACAGAAGACTCAGCGACACACTGATCACCCCCTCTGCCTCTCCCCACAGAACGACTCCGTCATCCAGCAGCTGGCCACCATCTTCACACACTGCTACGGCACCAGCCCCATCCCCAGCATCCCAGAAATCCGGAAGACCCTGCCCGCCAGGCTAGGTGCGGCCTGTCTACTCCTTCCCCACACTGTGTTGTCTTTTCGGCACCTTCTGCCCTCCTTTCCCATTTGCAAGTGCCAAGGCCTCAGTTTCTCTGTTCCTCGCCCCTTGTGTCCCACATCCCCACACTCCTGGAAGTAGACCCCTCAGTCACTTCCCCGTCTTGCCCTGTTCACAGATCCTCACTTTCTAAACAACAAGGAGATGTCAGATGTATCCTTCCTCGTGGAGGGGAAGCTGTTTTATGCACACAAAGTCCTGCTGGTGACCGCTTCTAACAGGTAGGCAGCTGTGGGGAACAGTCTCAGTCCCCCAGAGACACAGGGCAGTGACCTCAGGGCACAGAAGGCCCAGCTGGGCAGATCATTAAAGACGTACATGTTCTGCAATGAGGACTCGGACCACAAGCATCAGGTCTCTGTGGGTGGGAGGGCCATTGGGGACAGCTTAGTTGTCACAACCCAGGATGATGTAAAATGTCACCTGCCCAGAGTTATTTTGGGAAGACAGCCTTCATTTTTAAAGGGTCCTGTCCCAGTCATCGGCTGGGTGATGGATCGTGCTGATGTCACACAGGTTACATTCATCTCCACCTTGTCTCCTTTGCTCCAGATTCAAGACACTAATGACCAATAAATCGGAACATGATGGAGACAGCAGCAAAACGATTGAGATCAGCGACATGAAGTACCACATTTTTCAGGTGGGTAGACCTGGGCACCCCACCCTTTACTCAGAGAAGTCCCTCTGGGGCCACTGCCTAATCCTACACTCTGTTCTCTGGGGAATACCTCTGAGGGTGTCTGTTGGCCTGCAGCCTCAGATAGACATGAAGGAAACACATAGTGTATGGGCCTTTGTCTTAGAATGAACTCCTAGCAAGTGAACACCCCATCCAGGCCCCCACCCCCCAAACCTGCATCTTCACAGGTGCCCAGCTAGGGCCCCGCTCACCTCAATGTCACTGGAAAGGGCGGCAGCACTCCTCCTGCTCCCTGCCAAGCATCAAACCCCAGCCACTGGCCAGGCACAAAGTGTGAAGAGTCCATCCTTAGCAGATGAACAAGCTCATGGCTGTGGGCTGTAACCCCTGAACAGATAGGCAGAAACTCCAGTCAGGGCAGATGAGACAGCCTTTCCACAAAGTGGCCACTGTGCACCCCCAGGCTGGAGTGGGGCGCAGGGACGGAGCCTTCAGGGCAGGTCTGACGCCCAGAGGCAACAAGGGTAGAGAGTGCAGGGACTTGCTTTACTCAAGAGACAGCTGAGATCACAGGTTCCACAGAGTCCTCACTGAGTCACATCTAAAATTGCTGGCTTCCTCTCCCTCCCTGCAGTCATTTAGTTCGCATCTAGGGCATGATCAAGACAACCAGAACTAGGCACCCTGGGTTTGTGAAACTCTGCAAGAGTTTGTGGGGAAGTTTAAGAGGCTCTAGTGATACAGGAATGGGGCAGGAGTCCCAGACATGGAGCTGTGGCAGTGTGGCAGCCGGGTTGAGGCCTCAAGGACGAATTAACAGGAGCTCTGGGTATAGGACAGCACACATCAAAATCCCAGGAGCCTGGTCCATGGCATGTTCCATTCAGAACTACCAGAAATGAATGTGGTGCTGCCCCAAGGAGCCACAGAACAAAAGACCCAGGAAGCTCCCAGCAGCTTTAATACACCACGATGAGGTGGTTAGCCTCATTTCTAGGTGCTTTGCCACTAGTCTCAGAGCATAACCTGGTCCTTGGGGTGTGGGTTGGGTATATTATTGCCCCTCTTGGAGAGATTAAGAGTTAGAGAAGCTGAGTAGCTTGTTCAAGGTCACACAGTCGGGCTGGGAAGGTGGCTCAGTGGTAGAGTGCTTGCCTTGCATGCATGAGGCCCTGGGTTCGATTCCTCGGTACCACATAAGCAGAAAAAAACAGAAGTGATGCTGTGGCTCAAGTGGTAGAGCGCTAGCCTTGAACTGAAGAGCTGAGGGACAGTGCCCAGGCCCAGAGTTCAGGCCCCGCAACCGACCAAAAAAAAAAAAAAGTCACACAGTTGTGAAGTGACACTCGGTCCTCACACCTGTGACTGATCGAGTTTACATTTAGAAAGGTGAGAAAAAAGCCACGCACCAGTGGCTCATGCCTGTGGTCCTAGCTACTCAGAAGGCTGAGATATGAGGATCTTGTTCTAAAGCCAGACCAGGCAAAAAGTCCATGGGACTCTCTTTATCTTCAGTTAACCACCAAAAGATGGGAATAGCAATGTGGCGCAAGTGGTAGAACACTAGCATTGAGCTCAAAAATTCAAGGACAGTGCCCAGGCTCATGACCGACAAAGAGAGAGGGGGAGAGGAGAGAGAAAGAGAGGGACAGAGAGAGAGGAGAGATGAGGAAGGGACTGAAGAGGATGTGACAACTCCCTGGGGCCTAGGAGCTGTGGAGGGTCCAACTGAGTGATGCCGGTGACCTGGACTGGACATTGGGACCTGGAGAACAGATGGGGCACAGGGGGACATGCCAGGGTCTGTCTAAGTGTAGTAGTGCCTCTTCCCCCATCCTCTGATCCACACTCCCTAGGGAAGGGGCAGGGTTTTTTGGAAATTTGTTTGGCTAAAAAGCCCAAAGTCCAAGTGAGTTGGAACATGAGGTGGAGCCAGGCTCTGACACAGGACGCAGGTCCCAGCGGGTGGGACAGGGATTGGCCGAGAGTGAGGCCATGCGTGCACATGTGCAAGCAGGTGACCACTATTGCTAGGGAGATGCATGCACATTTGTTTGCTCACCTGAGGGGCGAAGGAGGGCACTGGAGTCAGGATAGAGCAAGCTACCCTCCTGGTGACTTCAGACAAAAGGCCCTTCTCCTGGGCTCTCACCAATATCTCTGCAGTGTGTGTATGTGTGTATGGGGGGGGGAGGGAGAAGGAGGGGGGAGGGGGATAAGGAGAGAGGGAGGGATATCTCAAGAACTCTTGGTTTCTGGGCTCCCTTGATCTAAAACCCTCAATGCAGGATCAGGGTTCACTGAAAAAGCCTGAGGTTTTGGAAAATTCCCAACATATTTCACCAGTACTGAGAGGAGGGAGGTCATTCTCATCTGTTTTCTTGAGGAAAGAAGTCCAAGGAGACATATAGTAACAGATGATCAAAATGGATAATTAGGAGATTCAAAGTCATTTTTAAAACCAGGAAAGACTTTTAACATATCCAACTCAATGTAATTCAAGTATTATTTCAACTTGTAATAGAGGTAATAAATGGATACTGTTTTGTGTTTGTGCACATGCGCATGCTCACATCAGTCCTGAAACTTGCACTCAGCCTGGCCACTCTCCCTGAGTTTTTGTTTTTTGTTTTTTTGTTGGTCGTGGGCCTTGAACTCTGGGCCTGGGTGCTGTCCCTCAGCTCTTCAGCTCAAGGTGAGCGCTCTACCACTTGAGCTACAGCGCCACTTCCGGTTTTCTGGTGGTTTATTGGAGATAGGTTTATTGGAGATAGGAGTCTCTCCTGCCCGGGCTGGCTTTGAACGGCGATCCTCAGATCTCAGCCTCCTGAGTAGCTAAGATTACAGGCATGAGCCACCAGCGCCCGGCTTCTCCCTGAGTTTTTTCACTCAAGGCTAGCACTCATCACTTGAGCCACAGCTCCACTTCTGGTTTTTTGGTGGTTAATTGGAGATAAGAGTCTTCATGGACTTTCCTGCTTGGGCTAGCTTCAAACCACCATCCTCAAATCTTAGCCTCCAGAGTAGTTAGGATCGCAGGTGTTAGCAGCACCCAGAGGGGTCACATTTCCAATGCTCAGAATCCATGCATGACCAGTGGCTAGTGTATAGGAAGGTGCCAGTCCCCTTTGACTAAACCCAGGCCTTTAAAGAATAGCCAGGGGGGCAGCCCAACCTGCCCTTTGGACATGGCTTGGCAGTCTGTGTGTCCTCCCTGAATACTGCCCCCAGGTGGCAGGAAAGCCTGTGGCCTTTCCTCTGGAAGTTGGCCCAGCCCCATATGCAGCCTGCTTTAAGAACTGATACATGACCAGGATTCTGCAAAATTAATCCTCCTCTACTCTCTGCAAGGCCCTACATGAAGCATTCTTATCTGGCTTTCTACGTACTCCTATGCAATCTAGTGGCCTCAAACAGATCCTTGCACCATAGTTGGTCGAGTCTTGCCAAACCCAGCTCCCAGGAAGGGAAATGCGACAACCGAGATCTCAGACCCCAGCCAAGAATGTCCCAAGGCCCATCCCTTCACAAAGAGTCCTCACCCACCCACTTCAGTCCCAATCCTAGACCAGAGCCCTCCCGGAGCTGGGCCTTTACCCTGTTGGCCCCACTCAGTGCCCAGCCCAAGGGGGCTGAGGAACCAAGGCCTTGGCCTGCCTTAGGCATGCACCCTGTGGCAGGACAGGCAGGCACTAAACTGTCAACGAGAAGATACAGTGAAGGCTCTAATTGGGGCTGAGGAGGTCCAGAGGGCCTCACTTCCCTGTGGGGAGAGGCCGAGGCACCCAGTACCTGGACAAGGCCAGTGGTTGATCTTTCTCCTAGACCCTCTGGTGCCGTTCCAGCCTGAGGGCCAGCCCCAACAGCGCTTGCCTGTGCCAGCCTGAGCCTTGTTTACTTAGATACCTGCCAGCACCTGGCTGGGCAGTTTCCCCAGCCAGCCAGAGAGAATTGTTTTCTGGTTAGACAGTCATGCCTTCAGAAAGTCGGCTGCCTCCTCAGATACAGAATACAGACACAGAATTCTTTTGCTTTGGTGTGAGATAAGGTTGCCTTATGTAGCCCGGGCTGAGCTCGATTCTCATACCTCAGCCTCCCAAGTGTTTGGAATACAGGCTTGCTTCACCCAGTTTGTGTAGAATTTAGACCAAATAAGCAAGGAGTAGCATGCTTCCTGGTGGGGTGGGGTGGAGTGGAAGGGGCTGAGGCCTAAGAGACTGGAACCATCTTCCCTTCTGTCATGGGGACTGGAGAGAAACTGCTGTGTGGACCTGATCTGGTCACAGAGGCAGGAAAGGGTCTCAAGCTTGTGGCTTGGAGAGGCCACATTGTGTGGAAAACAGCATGTGAGGCTCAGCCTAAGCAGAGGAGAGCAGAGGGAGACATGGTGTTCGGGGACTGCAGAGGGATGGGAGGGCATAGCGGCCCCCGAGGAGCAGCTAGAGCAGCACACTGGGGGCCACATGTGTTCCTCAGCCTGTGTGTGCGTGTTCACATGGGGCTCCTTCCCTCCACAGCTGATGATGCAGTATCTGTACTATGGCGGGACAGAGTCCATGGAAATCCCTACTGCTGACATCTTGGAGGTGAGGCACAGGGGCCCCAGCTGCTGGGTCCTCCACTAAACACCACTGCACTCTTCTCTTCTCCCCCTCCCCTCCCCTCCCCCCCACACCTCTCTCTGCATGTCATATGCCGTCTCAGCAACAGCATTTGAAGGGAGAAGGGGAGCAGTGGACTTGGAGGCCGCCGTGGTCCCCTGCATAATGCTTTCTCGGAGTAAAAGGAGAGCTCTGATGGATCTGTGGATACCTGGCCTCAGCCTAGTGGGGATGGGGCAGGGCTGTACCTCTTGCTCTCACTCCTTACTGCTGACCAGGGCATCTGGGTTCAGGGGTTCATGTAGATGAAGCATCATCAGTTACAGCTCAAGACCTTTTGAGGTCAGAAAGACCATTTTGTGCCTCCTGCTAATAGCGGATGGCCTAGAGCAGAGATGAAGGTCACGGTTGCTTTTCCTCAGTCAGGACCAGCAGGGATGCTGGGGAGAAGCAGGGTACGCACGCTTGGAAGCCTTCTGTTCTGGGATGTCTGGGCCACAGGCCACAGGACCAGCTCAGAGTCCCCCAAGCCCACTCTGCCTCTCTCCCAGCTGCTGTCAGCCGCCAGCCTGTTCCAGCTGGATGCCCTGCAGAGACACTGCGAGATCCTGTGCTCCCAGACGCTCAGCGTGGAGAGCGCCGTGAACACCTACAAATATGCCAAGGTGAGGGCCTGGGCTCCCCTGCTTCCTCCCACGACATACTGCTCCCTCACCTCCTCCCCACTCCCCCTGCAGACAGGCCAGGACATGCAGGTGGCTAGGCCATCTCGAGGGCAAGGGGGGTTAGCAGTTCCTGCTGGAGCAGCCCTCAGCGCTGCCCACGGCAGCCCTAGCGCACTGTCCCCCGCACATCCTGCTCACTGTCCTCTCTGCGCAGCCACTGCGCTGGGGACTGCCAAGCAGCCGAGCCTCAGGTGGGTGTCCACCCCCCCACCCCCCAGCAGTCTCCCCCAGCTCAAGAAACGACATTGCCATCTGCTCAAACTCACACCCCAAAAGTCCGATTTGATTTTTAAACATCTCCCAGCTAAGCCAGCCACCTCCGAAAGGTATCAGCAGTCTCTCCTCCCCGTCTCCTCTGCCCCTGCTCTGCCACCCCTCCCAGCTCAAGGCACTGCACCAGCTCCGTCTCCCTACTGCCAGGCCGCCCCCACTATCTTTCAAAGTACAAGGACTGCAGGCAGCAGTGGCTGGTGCGCCTGTAATGGTAGCTACTTGGAGGCTCACCCTCAAGCACGCCTGCCAGGACCCCGCGTCCCACCCACTCCTCCCCTCACTTGAGCGTGCCGCTGTAGCCTGTGCTTTGCCAGCTCTGTCCAGCCCTTTGTCTTCCCAGAGCCACCCCACTACTCTACCAGACACACCCCCTTCACTGCCTTAAGCCTGCCTGCAGTCACCGGGTTGATCTGGTCCATATCTTGACTTCTGTCTCTCCCAGCCCAGAACATTAACCCTAAGAGAACCAGGAGGTCACCACTGGGCAGCTACCACCCAGAGCCAGGCCAGGGCAGCCATTTGGGGTGTGTTGACTTAAAGATACAGAGCAGCAGTCCCATGAAATAACCTTGTGCTAGATGCTGGACACCAAGAGGCACACAGTGCCTGCCCTCAGGAAGGGAGCTGCAAGTCTAGTAGGAATGACTGTCACACAGGGAAGGCATGCACATTAACCCAAGGCACAGACCTGTCAGGGGACTGTTGTTGGTGGCACAGCTAGGACTTGAGCCCAGCTAGGTCCCACTTGCAGGAGATACTCACAAATGAACGGACACAAATGTGGTGGCAAGAGACAGACAGGGAGCACCTCTCCTGGGGCTGGTAACATCAGGGGTGGGGACAGTTTCAGATTGGGCTGTACAGAAACCATGAGCCTCACCCTTCATCTCCCTGCCCACAGATCCACAACGCCCCTGAACTGGCCCTGTTCTGTGAGGGCTTCTTCCTCAAGCACATGAAGGCCCTCTTGGAGCAGGATGCCTTCCGGCAGCTCATCTACAGTCGCAGCAGCAAAGTACAGGGGCTGGATCCACTGCAGGACCTGCAGAGCACCCTGGCCGAGCGTGTACATTCTGTCTATGTCACCTCCCGAGTGTGAGATGGGGGCGGGGGGGCGCCTTAGACCTTCTAGGAGCCAAGCTCCTTCCCCAGGGCCCTCACCACTGGTGGTGATCTATCCTTGGGTAGATAGATGCCCGAGCCTGTTTGCCCCATCAGTGACTGACAAGGCAGGGTATGATCAAAAGGTGACCTATGTCTGCAACTTCATAGGATTTGCACCTTGAGGTTCACTCTATGGCTCCTGCATGCTCAGCAGCAGGTCTTGATCCACCTGGGTTCAGTTCACCCCACCCAAGAGAGGCTCTTGGGAGTGTGGGCATCCCTAAGAATGTATAGAATGTCATCTCTCTGCACCCCAGACAACTGAATGCAAAAACTTGCATTTAGTTTCTCAAATGTCACAGAGGAAGGCTGCCCAAATCGTGGGCCCACCCTCCAGGTTGTGCCTTTGAAAGGCCTAAGCTAAGGGCCTGGCACTGAGTCTGCCTCCCTCCCCCTTCAGGGCTGCTAACGTTCGTCTAGGCTCTCAAGGCCAGGGTGTAAGAGGGTACAGCATAGGAGTTTGGGGGCATCAGCTCTTGCTGCTGTAGCTCAGGGCCAAAGGAAAGGAACCTCAGGCTGGACTTCGGCCGCCTCTGTGAGCTGGGGTAACAGTACTTCCACATTCCCCGGGCTCAGTCTCGAGTGCAAGGTTCTTTTAACTCAGGACTGGACAGAGGGTCACACCCTCACTGGGACTGGAACCTTGGGCATAGAAGTCCCAGCACTGGTGGGAGGGAAGAGCTAAAGAAGACCATCACCACATCCCAGCCCTGCCTCCCCTTGCAGTCTTGGCTCCTTACCAACTGGCCTGTTTATAGACCGGACACTGGGACAGCATCAGGACAGCTTGCTCTAGGTGCCGCCTGGCTGCACTGTAGAAATTATTTATTCATCAGAAGACCTGGGCAATTCAGGAGATGTCTCTTGGATCACCTTGAAACTCCCCCAGGGACTTAACATTTTTGGAAAATATTTTCAACTAGTGCTTGAGCTGGATGTACAAAGAATAGGTGTTATTTTATTGCTGTAATATTGTATGATACTGTAACATTAATGTCACTTACTGTAAATGTACTATGGTTTTATTAACAATAAACACAATAACAATGACCTTAACCTCAGTGTTCCCAATACAGGGATGCTTGGAGTTCAAAGCTGGGTAAGGGTCCCAGCAGGAACAGAGCTCAGAGCTGATTCCACACCCTAAAGCCAGACCTCCGCTGTGCCTCTGCACTCCCCTCTCCCCAGGACCTCAGCCTAACTCAGCTATTTTCATTTGATGGCTGACTGGGCAGGTATGTGCCACAGGGCTGGACAGGAGCTGGACTGAGGAATGGGGCAGTATGCTGGGCTCTGCACACATGCCCTCCATGGGAAGGCTGGGATGCAGGAGCTTCTTAGGTGTTTACAGCCCTAGCCTGTGGCTTTGCTGAGCCCTGGCTAGATAGATCATCACGGGGACTATGGCAGAGATAATGGAGTGTGGTGAGCCAGTGACTCAGGCCCAAGGTTTTCCTAGACACTTAATAGTTTTAGGTGTAAAGTCACAAAGTTTTCAAAGTGTAGAACAGAAACAACAATTTCTAGAGTCACCAAAAACCTAACCAAGAGTAATATTCCAAACACTCAAGAGTTGGAGAACTATAAAGAACTCCAGAAGCTAGTAGTCTGAAGAAAAAAGGGTGCGTCAAGCAGAATGGATTGAGACAGGCCTTGGGGCCATAGTCCCAACTGTGAGGGAGCCCTGGAACATGGACCACAGCGCCCTCTGGGGGGCAGAGGTGTGCTCCTCAAAGCACCCGGCGAAGGGGAGCCTTGGGAGCACGTGAGATCTGAAGTGGCTGCCCTGCAGGGATCTAGGTCCACCCTCCCAGTAAGGCTGTTCTCTGCCTTTTTAAAAAGCAAGATCTAGTTATATTCTGGCTACAAGTGGGGCTTGGCAGTTTGGGGGGGTAAACTTGGGGAGGGGGAGGAAAGTCTAGAAGTAGGGAGATTAAGGGGCAACCCCTTCTCGGCCTGTCCCTCCTGGGAACATGATCTTTAAACAAACTTTTAAAATAACTAGAAAAAAAAATTCTTCCCAGGAGCTAAGACTCAGTGGCAGTGGAGGGAGGTATGGTTAGTTATCCTAGCAGCCTCCTCCTAATTCTGGACTGTAGGGGGCGCCTCAGCTGCCAGTTAAGCTACCAGCAGCCAGATGGGCTGGGGCAGGGCCAAGGTAACTTCTCACAGGAGCACCTGAGTAACTGGCTGAAAGCATCAGTACACAAGATGTTCATTTTGCTCTGTGGGCATGACCCTCACCTGATGTAAAAGGTCCAAGAGCCCGACCGCCTGAGCATGAGCCACCCACTTAGCACTGAATTCCCCTTGCTAACACTTCACCCTCCTTTCCTCCATTACCCTTCCCCAAGTCAGGTGCACGGTGGTCAGCTTTTTCATCAGAGCCAGGCAACTCGTTGCCAGTAAGCCAGCCAGGTCGTGAGGCCTTTCCCAGCCCCTTTGTAGGGTCCTTATGATGCTTACCAGCTGTGTACAGAATCAAGGGCGTCTCCAACCTAGTCTGACATCGCCCATTCAGATCCAGCTTTCCAGCCCCACCTCCCTCCCTGTACACAGCAGCTTCTGTATTAGCCTACATTTGTCTGAGGTGATGGACTTACTTCCACCCCTCTGCCTCCTGCCAGCCTCAGAGCCTCCTTTGTGTCTCTTGCTCTCTCCTAAGTCCTCTGGGATGGCCAGCAGATGAGCAGGGGAAAACAATGAAGCAGGCCATCACCGCATCCCGCCCCCCTCGGCCTAGAGGTGGGGTGGGCATTTAGAAACACCCTTTGTTCAGAACCCTTCAGCTCCAACCCCATCCTAGTGACAGCATGCAGAGCTGGCCCATCTGAATTCATTTCACAAGTGGCATCTCCCTAGACAGTCAAGCTTTACAGATGTTCACTGTCTGGGGCCCAGATGGTGAGGTCTAGGGGAGGCATGCCCTTTCGGGTTTGAAGGAGACCCAAGATCACACACAAAATGCAGAGGTCTCCAGACAACACTTGCCTTGAAAGAAAAGAGTGGGACATGTGCTCCCTTTATGTGTGCAGAGACAAAGGTAAAAGCACTGCATCTTACAACAGGACACAAGCTGCTACTCAAGACCCAGAAGGTCCAACTGCAAAGCACGTGCTCCTTATCCTCATGGGACTCTTTCTAGCTCAGGCCAGTTCAGTTAGGCATTTTACAGCTGGCATGTCAGGGACCTCCTGTGTGCCAGCCACTGTCCTGAGTTCTCCTGCTCCTCTCTACCCTACAGCTAGGGAGAAGCACTGTTACTGCCACCCACAGGTGTACCTGAGCGCGGGCAGAGCGAAATCACATGCCTGAATCAGCCTGTTTTCTGTTGCTATAACAGAAAAGCCTGGGTGGCATATAAAGAGTATTAATTTCTTACAGCTTTGGAGGTGGTTAGGTCTAAAATGAAGAAGGTGCTGCATCCGATGCAGGCCTTGCTGGTGGTGACTCTGCTAGTCTGGAGATCCCAAGGTTAACTGGCTTTTCTGGCAGAGCCACCCTCGAGAGAACTCCTTTATCCAGGAATAGATTAGCCCATCAATGGAGGAAGAGACCTCCAGACCCTATCACCTCTTACAGGTCCAGTTCTCCATACCTAACAAAGGGGATTGACATTTTCATTTGCACAGTGAAGGAAAACACCTTCAACTTGAGCTCTGGTAGGGACAATCAACCACAGCAGTGCCACAGGGAGGGGGCACAAAATCCATGGAAAGTCAGAATCCAAGCACTCACAGGCAGTCTGGACTCAGAGCCCCCTTACCTTAAATTCAGAGCAGAGCCACTGGACAAACCTTAGGGGTGAGGACACAACAAGGGTTCCTTCCCCAGCTGGAGGAGCATGTGCTTGAGAAACTTCTAGCAAAAAGCCGGGCGCTGGTGGCTCACGCCTGAAATCCTAGCTACTCAGGAGGCTGAGATCTGAGGATCGCGGTTCAAAGCCAGCCCGGGCAGGAGAGACCGTGAGACTCCTATCTCCAATAAACCACCAGAAAACCGGAAGTGGCGCTGTAGCTCAAGTGGTAGAGCGCTCGCCTTGAGCTGAAGAGCTGAGGGACAGCGCCCAGGCCCAGAGTTCAAGCCCCACCACCGACCAAAAAAAAAAAAAAAAGAAAGAAACTTCTAGCAAACTGGCCAGCTATGATCTCCTAAGATTTGGATTCTGCCTTTTGGCCACACTTGCCTAAGAATATGCTGAGAGCAGGCTCAGGACCCTACCTGAGAAAATAGCCAAATATTTTCCCATTTCTCTTAAGCACTTTCCTGCAGACCCAATGGAGGGCCCGTGGCAGGAGGCAGCAGCTCCGGCAAAGGCCTCAACACTGGAGTCCTGACTGTCCTAGGGACAAGCACCGACCTGAGCTTCTCCAGCTGGGACGAGCGCCAGGAGTGGTGTGTGGTCCAGAAGCGTCCCTCTCCTCCAGTCTTTTTGCTAGACTGTAACCAGCCTAGTTTACATGCCCAGTACCAGGCACGTAGGTTAACTCACCACAGGACACCATCAGACAAAGCGAAATAGGTGTGAAGCTACCATACAATGCCCATCCCCAACAAAGGGGGTGGCCCAAACGACCTGGCAGGAGCTGACTTCTAGCCACACCATGCCTCTCAAGATGCCCACGGCATCATTCAGATTCACCAGGCTTCCCATAGGCACAGAGTTGGGAAATGCTAGCCACATTACACCGCTTCTTTGTCAGACAAGATCCACAAGAAGAAAAAGGACAACCTCCACAGATGTGGATTTCATAAGCACTTCAGACAAATGATCTTTCCAGGATGTTATTTAAAATAGACTCTCTATCCCTCCCCATCCACTGCAAGGGCCTTTCCCAACATTTTCCCAAAAGGATGACATAATAGGTCTTAGGGACTCAGATGCTGTACTCTAAAGGCCCAGACTTTTCTTGGGGTGTTGAGGGCAGGAGTGTAACGAAAGACACATTAGCAGACCCTGACTCTAGCAGATACCAGGCCCTGCTGAGCCACTGGGTGCACAAGCTGCTCCAGGCCTCAGGGTGTTGAGTCCATGAAGAGACCCAGCAACCTATGGCAGCCTCTGAGCATCACCAGAAGGCTGCAGTTAAGGACCTGAGAAGGAACAAGAACCAGTATGGCTTCCCCATGTGTGTGAATGAGGCTGAAAAGCTGGCCTCGGGAAAAGAGGTCCTTGAAATGAGGGTTGGAACATCTCCATGGCAGTGCAGAGCTGTGCCCAAGCATCAAGTTCTAAACAGACCTGCTGGGGAGGGCCTGCCTCTTCCGTCAGTGGACCCAAAGACAGACAGGTCTATGGGGAATCCCTGGCTGGTGTCAGTGTTCACTGGGACCCTTGTTGTTGTCACTCAAGTCAGAGGTACTTCAGGAGATGAGGTGTTTCCTCACAGCTTGGCCTGACACCCAGGTTTTGCACTATTTCTTCCATTTCAGCTTCACATCCATTTTGTTCTTTGTATCTCTGTTTCTCTTCAACTTCTTATGTTTGGGTTCATGTTTGGCTTCCAGCTTCCTTTTCTTTTCACTGGAGCTAAATAAAACACAGACACACACACATACAAAAAAAAAAAAAAGGAATAGAGAAAAAATGAAGCATACAGATCTGAAACACCTCTCAGGCTGCTCTGCTGGGTCTGAGTGATCTGAGAACACCTCATCAGGCCCGTTCCCTGCAAACATGCAATAGTGGCTGGCATCATGCCAGGCCCACCTCCTGCTCTAGCAGAGCACTGAACATGTGGAGGAATGCATGAAACCCAGGCTCTCTTCAGTGCTGTACATTCCCCCCTCCTGAGACCTAGAAACATCTAAGCAACACAACAGGGGCTTCAATGGGGGTTTCCTCCACTACTCACTACCAGTTACCTGGAAAACAGACATGGTACCCCAATGACCTCCCATGAACGTACTTCACATAGACATGAGATGTCGAGGAAAGCCAGACATCCTTTCTGATGCACGGTTGCTATTTTATTTTTCTGACATAAACACTGGAGGAATGCTGACTGCAACTGGCCAGTATGACTTGTGACAGGCTGGTGCAGAGACTG